AGGTGGCATGGCACGATTGCCAATGCTAATTAAACAGAACAGGTATGTCGACAAAGCTCATTCTGATGCCTCGATACAGTACATGAAACCCCACGTCTTCTTGCTTCATGTCTTTGGCAACACTGTTAGCAATAGGTTTTCGAGATGATAGATGCACCAAGATTGCAAATAAAATATATATATATATATGATATGTCTTTTTCTTATTATTATTGAATTTCTTCTTCTTACTATTATTCTTGTTTGACCGAGAAGAATGTTAACTTGTGAAGATTTTTGGTTGCATAGCGATGTTTGCAATGTGTTCGGGTGTTTCGAAAATGGAAGTATTTCGAAGCAGACAAAACGATGTGACGATATTCACTGATTTGTTGTTGTTGTTGTTGTTGTTGGTTTCTCGTGGTTCCGCAATTTTCGTCGTTTTTGTCAATAGTTTGATGACGCTTTTCTCTCTCTCTCTCTGTTTCTCTTATTATTATCATCATCATCATTACTATTATTTCTATTATCAACATTATTTTCTATTATTATAATTGATATTATCATTATCATTATTGTTATTATTATGATTATTATTATCATTATCATCATTATTGTTATAATTATCATTACTATCATTATTATCATCATTATCATTATCAATATTATCATTATCATTACCACCATTACTATTATTATATTTCTTACTAATATTAGCATTGGGTATAGCATAATGAATGATATTATTATTAATATCCATATAATCACCATAACCATAATAAGGATCGTCTTTACCATTACTATTCCCATTACCATCACTATCACCATCATCATTTTCATCAACATCATCATCCTATTCCTCACCTTCATCATCATCATCATTACAAACATCATCCTCATCATAACCATTATCCTGCTAATCATCATCCTCATCATTATCATCATCACCATCATCCTCATAACCATCATCTACCTCATCCCCATAATCATCATCATCACCATCATTTTCATCCTTATCATCACTATCATCCAACTCCTAATAACTATCATCCTCATCCTCATCCTCATCATCACCATCACCATCATACTTCTCACCATCATAACCATCATCCTGATGCTCATTGCCATCCTCATCCTCATCATCATCATCACCATCAACAACATCTTCATCACCATCATCCTCATTATCACCATCATCTTCATCATCATCTTCCTCCTTACCCTCATCCTCTTCACCATAACCATCCTCCTCACCCCCATCTTCCTCCTCACCCTCATCATCCTCACCATAACCATCATCATCACCATCATCTTCACCCTTGCCCTCATCCTCCTCATCATAACCATCATCATCACCCTCATCTTCCTCCTCACCATAACAGTCATCACCATCATCTCTATCCTCACCCTCATCCTCCACTCCATCACCATCCTCCTCACCCTCATCTTCATCCTCACTATAACCATCCTCCTCACCCTCATCCCCCTCACCATAACCACCCTCATCTCCCTCACCATCACCTTCCTCCCCACCCTCATCTCCCTCACCATAACCATCCTCATCACCCCATCCCCCTCACCATAACCACCCTCATCTCCCTCACCATAACCATCCTCATCACCCCCATCCCCCTCACCATAACTATCCTCCTCACCCTCATCCCCCTCACCATAACCACCCTCAACACCCTCATCCTCCTCTCCATCACCATCATCACCCTCATCTTCCTCCTCACCATAACCACCCTCATCTCCCTCACCATCACCTTCCTCCCCACCCTCATCTCCCTCACCATAACCATCCTCATCACGCCCATCCCCCTCACCATAACTATCCTCCTCACCCTCATCACCCTCACCATCACCTTCCTCCCCACCCTCATCCCCCTCACCATAACCATCCTCATCACCCTCATATTCCTCCCCACCTTCACCAAAAACACCCCCCTCACCCACAATACCCAAACCCACCAACCAAGACGACGAACAACCCAAACGCCGCATCAACCCAAGTTGCAACCGAAGCAACTTAGCAGCAAGGGAGGCGAGCGGAACCCAAAATGGTGAATGAAGTGTCGGAAAAACCTGTTCTGTCATCACCACGGAGACGAAAATGAGTGCATAGAATCATCACCATCATCATCTTCAGGTGTGGAGGCATGGTATCTCTACGCTTCGTCAGGGGGGTGGAGATGGGCAGTGAAGACAGGGGGTGGTGTCCCTGTTAACTTGTCTGCTTTCCTGATTGTTTGATTGTTTGCTTGCTTGGTTGTTTGCTTGTCTGTTTGGTTGATTATTTGCTTGCCTGGTTGTTTGCTTGTCTGCTTACTTCCTTGCCTGCTTTCCTGCTTCGTCTGCTTATTTGCTTGTCTGTTTGCATGCTTTCCTGCTTGTCTGCTTCCCTGTTCGTTTGCTTGTCTGCTTTCCTGGTTGTCTGCCTGTCTGCTTGTTTGCTTATCTGCTTATTTGCTTGTCTGCTTTCCTTCTTGTTTGCTTGTCGGCTTGTTTGCTTATCTGCTTTCCTGCTTGAATACTTTCTTGCTTGCTTGCTTGCTTGCTTGCCTGCTTTCTTTCTTGCTTGCTTGCCTCCTTGCCTGTCTGCTTCGGTGTGTAGGTGAGAGGAGGAAGTAGGAAAGGGAGCGATTTTTATGTTTCTGTTTTGTTTTGTCTCTTTCTTTCTCTCTCTCTCTCTCTCTCTCTCTCTCTCTCTCTCTCTCTCTCTCTCGATTTATTTTTTCTTTAGCTTTTTACCATAATATTATTATCATTTCTTTCTCTCTCTCTTCCTCTTAAACTGTCCCTAGTTACTACAAAAAAAATACCGTTTTGTCTACGTATCACTTTCTGTTCCCCTCCGCAAAACAGCTGACGACGCGCCCTTAACACCGAGACGCATCTACAGGAAGGTATCTCAAAACTCTTCATAAAACCCTTCACTTCAACAGCTAATTAAAAAAAAAAGGTCTACTTAAAACCCCGAAAGACACCTTTCTACATTACACCGAATTTCGTCACACAAACGAAGCCTCTCGACGAAAAAATAATAAATAATACACAAAAGGTGCATCGAAAACCTGAGAGAGAGCGAGAGAGGGAGACACACACACACACATCCTGTCTTGTCCTGAGAAACTGCTGACTCCCACTTCAACCTTTTAACGAGGTT